ATTCTTAAATTTCAAAACACGATTCATAAATACGCAAATCCAAATTGTAAATTCGAAACACAATTCATTAAAACACAAATCCAATTCGTAAATTCAAAACACGATCAATAAATATGCAAACCCGATTTGTTAATTCAAAACAAGATTCATAAATACACAAACCCAATTTAAATTTAAAAACACGATTCATAAATACACAAATCCAATTTGGAAATTCAAAATACAATTCGGAAACACACAAATCCAATTCGGAAATTCAAAACACGATATAAAAATACACAAACCCAATTTGAAAATTCAAAACACGATTCGTAAATACACAAATCCAATTTGTAAATTCAAAACAAAATTCGTAAACACACAAATCCAATTCGGAAATTTAAAACACAATACGTAAATACACTAATCTAATTCGTAAATTCAAAACACGATATAAAAATACACAAACCCAATTCGTTAATTCAAAACAAGATTCATAAATACACAAACCCAATTTTAAATTTAAAAACACGATTTATAAATACACAAATCCAATTCGGAAATTTAAAACAATTCGTAAATACACAAATCCAATTCGTAAATTCAAAACACGATTCATAAAAACACAAATCCAATTTGTAAATTCAAAACACGATCTAAAAATATGCAAACCCAATTTGTAAATTCAAAAACAGATTCATAAATACACAAACCGAATTTTAAATGTAAAAACACAATTCATAAATACACAAATCCAATTCGTAAATTCAAAACAAGATTCATAAATACACAAATCCAATTTTAAATGTAAAACCACAATTCATAAATACACAAATCCAATTCGTAAATGCACTAATCCTATTCGTAAATTCAAAACTAGATATAAAAATACACAAATCCAATTTATTTGGCAAAAATATTTTTGATTTTTACTTGTGAGTTCACAAATTGGATTTTGTAAATGTGAATTGTGTTGTGGGTGCATTAGCTTTATTTTGTATATGTATTGTTTTTGAGACTGATCTGGCACCACAACATGTCAGTTTTCACCTGAGTAAGTGTGTAAACAGAAGTAAATTAAAAAGATTATCTGTAATGCTGAACGGAACTATCGCTCCCATATATTTCCATGGCAATCCTCCTGTTCTACATCCATATGTTTACATGTGCACTCTTCAGTCCAGAGGGTTTTTGTTGTTGTTGTGTGCTTTCATTAATTATGGATCTCCATCTTGAAGTTAAACCCAGATGTGACTCACAGTATGGTGGTTTCATGCATGCGTCAACTTTTGGGATGGATCATTGTAATAAAACATATGAAATGGAGCTTGCGTGCTTAACAAGGAGGTCATGATTAAAACACACCGCATTACATGCTCACATGACAGTGACAGCAGAGGTCCACCTTGATTTAGACACATTTTAGGAGCAACTCTGCCCTCTGCTGCACGCGTGACTGCAGACTGCAAACACACAAACCAAGCTCAGTTTAGTTCACTAATTAGCCTTTAGTTATAGTGTGCAAAAACACACTTTTAATTAAAAATAATGAGCATTTTTAATGCCACAGAGCAAAAAGATATTTCATGTGCAATTGGTTTTCCTAATTCACCTCATTAACATTTACTTTGTGCCACTACTACTTTTTTTAATTACCCGAATGTAATCCATTAGTGACAATTATTTATTTATTCGTTTGAATTTCACTGGCCTGTTAGTGATACATTACCTAACGTGATCTATTATCTAAAATGAAATAATAGTAACTAATTAACATATATATATATATATATATATATATATATGTAAATTTATGTATGTACAGTATTTGTACATTTGTATATATTTTAATGCTTAATTAATATTAATAATTCAACCATTTATTGTTTTTTACATTAGTTAAGTGCATTAATTAACATAATAAAAAAACTAAATAATAAATTAATATTTTATTAAGTTAAGAAATCCATTGGAAGTATTATTCGTTGTTTTTTTTTTTGTTTTTTTTAAACATAACACCATATAGTGTACATCATGTATATATTTTAACAAACTTATCTCGGTGTTATTACCTTATACTAACTAGAACACGCACCAAAACACTAGCAAACAATACAGCCATTATACAGCACCATCAAAAAACAATAAAGAAATCTCAGCCAGACTGATGGAATAAAAACAAAATAGGATGACATGTAAAAAGATGTGGAGAGAAAAAAAATTATTACAGAAACATTATTAACCTATACATCTAATGAAGGGACCCCATATTTTGTCATACAACTTCTGTTTGCCAAATCTAGAGAAATGTAACCTTTCCAACTTGAGAGCAGAAACCATTTCGTGGATTTCCACTCCATCAGAATCACTCTCTTAGCCAGCACCATACCAAACATAAGGGAGAGTTGTTGATGTTTAGGCCAAGTTAGAGCCTGGTCTGACCATCCAAACAATGCTATTTCCACATCAATTTTAATATCGGAAGTATTATTATATTGTTAAATGTTGTGATAAACTAAATGTTAACACATGGACATTTATGCCATATTGTCAATGTACTTATATTTATTAATACCTTTTCTATAGTATACCAGCTTGGCAGTATTATAATTTCATGAGAGAACACAGCAAGAAGGTCACTGGTTCGAGCCACGGCAGGGACAATGGGTATTTCTGTGTGTTATTTGCATGTTCTCCCCATGTTTGTGTGCGTTTTCTCCGGGTGTTCCGGTTTCCCTTACAGTCCAAAAAAATAAGCCTTATAAGCTAAATTGGCCTTAGTGTATGTTTGTGAATGTGAGTGTGTGTGGGTGTTTCCCAGTGCTGGGTTGCAGCTGAAAAGGCATACGCTGTGTAAAACATATGCTGGATAAGTTCATTCCGTTGTGCCGACCCCTGATGAAGGAAAATGAATGAATGAATTGTCTGCAATAAAATACAAGTCAAAGTAAATGTGGAAATCACTACTTTCTTTTTTTTTTTTTTTTTTTTTTTGCATTTTTTCAATACTGTTCCAACTTTTTCTGATTTGGGGTTGTACATAATGATGAACTAACAATTAACTAAGTTTGCTAGCTCTTTATTTTATTATCCTATTTTGCTTATCATTATAAACTGGGTAAAAATGAGGACCATAACCCTTGTATATATTATATATAATGCAGTAGACGCAATGTTAACAAATGAAACCATACAGTAAAGAAATAACCAAAAGCTTTGCTAAAATGTAATCCACACATATACAGTTTAAGTCAGAATTATTAACCCCCGTTTATTATGTTTCCCCAATTTCGGAGAGATTTTTTCAACACATTTTTTCAACATAATAGTTTTAATATATATTTATAAATATATTAATATATTTAATAACTGATTTATTTTATCTTTGCCATGATGACAGTAAATAATATTTGACTAGATATTTTACAAGACACTTCTATACAGCTTGAAGTGATATTTAAAGGCTTAACTAGGTTTATTACGTTAACTAGGCAGGTTAGTGTAATTAGGCAAGTTATTGCTTAATGATGGTTTGTTCTGTAGACTATTGAAAAATGCTGAAAGAGTCTAATAATTCTGTCCTCAAAATGTTTTTTACAAAATTAAAAATGGCTTTTTTCTAGCTGAAATAAAACAAATAAGACTTTCTCCAGAAGAAAAAAATATTATCAGACATACTGTGAACATTTCCTTGCTCTGTTAAACATCATTTGGAAAATATTTAGAAAAGAAAACAAAATCAAAGGGGGGCGAATAATTCTGACTTCTGAAAGGTTATCTTGCTATCTCATAGTCTCTGTAGATTAGCTGGGAAAAGGACTATAAAACAGTTTATTTCCTGTACAACAATATTTCACAAAATATTTTGAACTCAGAAAAGCATTATAGGGATTCAAAACAGATCTAAAACCTTTACTGTAAAAAATCCTGGGTTCCACACAATTCCTTCATGTTGAAATTAACTTAATTATTTTTACAAATTAAAGTGGATTCGATATGATACAATTAGGTTGTCCCAAAACAACTAAAGAACTGTTTTTCCACTCATTTTAATTAAGTAGTTTGAACAAGCAGCATTGAGTGTTATATGGGTCTAAAAAGTGCCTTCAAAGAAATGTAAAGTGATGCCTTTATGATTACGAGTCAATGAACCACTTTAAGTGCTATTTAGCATCGTTTGTTTAAAAAAAAGTTCCTAAAACCACTTAATTATCTCCTGACTTGCAGATCATTTGTCATTAAAGGGATAGCTCATCCAAAATGAAAATTGTCATCATTTACTCATCCTTTTTTCAAAACTCTTTCTTTATTCTGTTGAACACAAAAGAAGATATTTTGAAAAATGTTGGAAACCTGTTACCATTGACTTTCATAATATTTGTGTTTCCTATAAAAGTCAGTGGTTTTTACATTTATTCAAAATATCTTCATTAATGTGTAGCAGAATAAGGAAACTCATAGTCTTGGAACCACTTGAGGGAGAGTAAATAGTGAGTTAATCTTCATTTTTGGGTGAACTGTCCCTTTAATCCAATCATGTATTGAATGTTTATACTCCTCAATCAATTCCTTTCATAAGTCTATTTTACACTAGAGGTACAAAAAAGTTACACTCAAAAACATCTGGACAAAAATGTCCCATTGGAGCCCATCGTGGAACCACTTGAGGGTGACAAAATAGGGAGTAAATTTTCATTTCTTTAGTGAACCTTTAAAATGAATATTTGAACGTGTTTCTCTGCAGAATCTGTTACACCTATTGTAATGCATAAAGGAGTATTCAAAATAAGTTTAGAGATTTTTTAAATCTCATTTAAAGTAATTTCAAAAATAATGTTTCATTTTGTAGTTGGTTAGTTTCTTGTCGCTGTTCCCGGCCTGTATTTTTTTTTCAGTTTGCGTCAAAGGGGGCGCAATCTGAACGCAAAGCCCAGCGGCCGCGGCTGAACTCTCAGTACTCTCAGAAGTCAAACCCCCCTGTCCTCTGCAGACCCGAGCCCCCAGTCACCTCCACCACAGCACCGAGTACAACCACTGCACGTCCACCCATTCATTCTGTCAGGATCTTCTTCGCTCTCGGGACTTTCATAAACTGAGGGAAACTTGGAAAACTATACGCACCTGCTCCTCTCTTCCAGAGGACACCAGAGAACAGCAGTTCAGCATGAATTCAACGGGTTTCAACGACACAGACAGCGCTCTGTTCTCCAACACGAGCTTTCTGTCGTGCTGTAACGTGTCTTCGGTGGTGACGGACAGCGGGTTTGTGTCCGCGGCGCTGGACGAGCGCAGCGTCTTCATCATGCGCACGGTGCAGATCGCGGTCATGTGCGTCCTGGCGCTCACCGTCGTCTTCGGCATCTTCTTTTTAGGCTGCAACTTGCTGATTAAGTCCGAAGGGATGATCAACTTTCTGGTTACAGACAGAAGACCGTCAAAGGATGTGGAAGCGGTCATCGTGGGATCGTATTAGTGCGTAAAAGTGTTGGTAATGTGTGAAAACTCCGTCCTCCACAAACGAAGAAACTCGCACGTTACCTTTATGACTCAGTGTTTGTTTGTTTGGAGAAGGGCAGCTGATGAGAAAAGTACAGTTAGTAGCGCGGTGCGAGAGACCTGTTGACTGATAATTGATATGAAATATAGAAGAGGAAAATGTTTCATGGACTGTTTCGCGCACTCTGTGGACCATGAGTAATTGTTGTACATGAATAATGCTTGTGGAACAAACTGTTAAGATTTACGTGGGTAAACGTTGCATGCATTATGAGTCATGCATTTTAAGTTGAAATAAATGAAGACATACTTTTATACTGTATACAAAAGCAATTGATATTTAAGATAGGCCAGTCTATTTTGTGATACTTTAACTCTTTATTTACATTTGGAAAGTTTTATATACAAGTATACTGTCCAACTGCAGTTTGCAATCGTTTTGATAGTAATTTGATAGCATGTTATGCGGAATTCTGTATCATGTTGAATGATAGAAACCCTGCTGAACTTTATAACAGTGATGTCATCTGAAATTGAAAAAAATGTAATAGATTTTCATGCGTCACTGTGAACTCAAAGCTGTTTTTTTCTCTTTTAATTATATAAAAGGCCAGTACAAAATCTCGAGAGCATTGTTACATTATTTCTTTCATGTAAATGTCATTGTCAGATTAGGGAGTGTGAAGTAATATAGTTATGTTTTTAGCCTTCGGCAAACTCTTTGCAGAAGTCAGATTTAAATCAACAGCAGTTCATCACACATAAACTAAATAACATAAAATAACGTTCAAAGTTCACTATTGAACATGTTTTCAATTACTTTCTTTTATTAACTACACTGTCATGTTGAATGCTGAATTCCACACAATCTCTTGGGATAACATGAAGGAATTAAGCTAGCTCTTAGTCTTTACAAATTTCACTCAATCAATCAATGAAACTTTTTATATAGCACCTTATTACAACCAGGAGGCGGCCAAAAGTGCTTTACAGTAGTAAAAACAAAATTAAATATTAAAACACATAAAACAGTAAGAACACAAGAATCAATAAAACAGCATTTTGTACTACCAAATATCAAAAGCAAGTCTAAATAAATAGGTTTTAAGCTTAGCTTTAACCTCTTAAGGCCCAAGGTGTTTTTTTACATGCATTTTTATTTCTCTTTGCTATTTGGGCTTATTGGAACCCAATTAAAATAAAAACCTAAGTCTCATCTTTTTATATGATGTACTTTTAGTATAAAATGATGTCTACATGTGTGGGCTCGTGGTGTGAATTTACAGAAGAGACTTTTCCTGACAGTTTTGTAATGCATATTTGAACATGTTTTGACTATCAGAGAGTAAAAAACATTATTTTTTTTCCATTTTGGACAGTTAAAAATAGTCTTTGGTACATTTCATACGCTGCAAAACAGTTGCAGGATGACACTGTATGTCTGTAGCAAAATATAAAACATTTAAAGTATTTTAAATAGCCACTTAAGAGCTAAAATGTGCTGTCCACATATGTGGCCACTAAGCCCGGAGGTTGAACAGTGCCACATTTGTAATGGTGCAAAGTTCTAAAGGCAGGGTGTTCCACAGTTTTGGACCTGCCACTGATAATGAACGATCACCCTATTGTTTATACCTGGATCTAGGGATCTCCAGCAACAACTGATCTGCTGATGGTAGGACCCTGTTCGGTTTATGAACGTTTAAAATCTCACATATGAAGGTGCAAAACCATTAACTGCATTAAAAACAAACAACAGTACACTCTCAGGAATAAAGGTACAAAACCTGTCACTGAGGTGGTAGTTTTTAAAAGCTACATTTTTGTTCCTAACAGGTCCTTAAAGGTACATATCAATACCTAAAAGTACAAATGTGTACCTCACAGTATCTTAAAAGTGCAAAAGTAAAGCTTTAAGGTACAAAAGTTTACCATAAAGGTACTGATGTCCACCTGTATGGTAAAAAACTGTACCTTTTGAAAAGGTACCACCCCAGAGACAAATTTTGTACCTTTATTTCCGAGAGTGTACTTTCAAGAGTTCACATTTAGCTGATCATCAATAAAGCGTATTGGCATGCTGTCCCGGGAGAGAGCCCTGAGCTCGTAATATCCTCGAGCCCGGAGCTCCCTTCCATTAGAAAGGCGAGAGGGGAGTTCGAGCTCAGGTAAAGGACAGATGTGATGTGCTCACATTTGCTACTATTGGTCAGTATGCGAGCAAGTTGCACCAGTTGTAATCAATGAGGTAAGGTTTGGTTAATTCCAATATAGAGTGCATTGCAATAGTCCAGGTGAGAGCTGATAAAAGCATGGATGGCTTTCTCTAGATCACGCTGGCTCAGAAATGGCTTGACTTTGGCAAGAAGGCAGAGCTAAAAAAAAAAAAAAAAAAAAAGCTTGCCCTGATCACTGAATTTACCTGTCTATCAAATTTTAAACTACTGTTCAAATTCACTACCAAATTTATAACTACAAGGCTAAAATGTGGGGAAAAGCTAAGATAATTTAAGGGTAGGTCATTAGGCAGGTTTGAGTTTTGCCGAACACAATACATTCTGTTTTGTTTTGTTTTTTCAGAGAAAGAAAGTTCTGAGACAGCCAAAGTTTAATGTCAACTGAACATCTGTGCAGAGATTTTAGTGTGCCTGAAGAGTCTGAAGCAACAGGGAGATAGATTTGAACATCATCAGCATACAGATGAAAGGAGACATTATGATTTATCCAGTCTGATCTCACGAGGAAACGCTAGTATTTTACGTTTTGTCAGTTCAGTGGCTAATTTGTACGAGTTCAGTCGTACAAAAATGTATTGTTTTAAAAAGGAGGCGTGGCACCCAACCGTCCCCCCAACCGTCATTGGGTGATGAGCAAGTCGTGCTAAATTGTACGAGTTAGATTGTACGAATTGATACGAATTAGCCACTAAATCAAAAAGTTACGAATTGCTGTGAGATTGCGTTGGATTGACCCTAACGGCAGCATGTGTAACCAGGGAACACAAGAAGTCAATTGAGCAAAAGGAGAAGTGACATTACCAACCATAACTGAGAAACTACGACCAGTTAAATAAGATGTGAACCAATCTAACACAGGCCCCTGTAGGCCAACCTGATGGGCCGAGCGAGACAGGAAGACTGAGCGGTCCACAGTATCAAAAGCAATTTGAAAAAGCAATTAAAAAAAATTCTAGTGGATTAAACATAAAACAATTACGTTTACCCCCCAAAAAAACTCAAGAACTGTTTCATTTCAGCTTATTTTAAATGAGTTTGAACAAACAGCAAATGTAATGTTTTAAGTTTACATAGTACATTTATTTACAATAAAAACAGATTAGAAATCTTAAATATTCATCCTGCTTCACACTGCAATTCATTCATTTCCCTTTAACTTTGGCACTTTATTCATCAAGGGTCGCCACAGTGGAATGAACCACCAACTTTTCCAGCACACAGTATGTTTTACACAGCGGATGCCCTTCTAGCTGCAACCCAGTACTGGGAAACCTCCATACGCACTCATTTACACTGTTCACTACAGACAATTTGGTTTATTTAATTTACCTAGCGCATGTCTTTGGACTGTGGGGGAAATCGTAGCACCCGGAGGAAACCCATGCAATATGTGGAGAACATGCAAACTCCACACAGAAATGCCAACTGATCTAGCTGGGAATCAGCAACCTTCTTGCTGTGAGGCGACAATGCTAACCACTGAGCCACCATGTCGTCCTTTATACTAAAATATTATTAGACATGTTTTCTTAATTTTAAAACTTCATTTCTAAATAAAAATGAGTAACATTTGGTTCAAGTTACAGATCACACCTCAGTGAACTTAAAACTGTTAATAACTGAACGTTCAATCAATTCAACAAATAATGTTTAATTATAGCAACAACAAAACAATTGACTCAACTTAAACTAAGATGACATTCGGTTGACCTCCGTGGCATACTTCTGTTAAGTGGTACAGATCACCCCCATTACCCCTACCTTGTGCGTCCGGAGCAGTGTTTGTATACCTTAGACATTTTTTTCACTCCACTACACACATCGGTGCGGCAAAACAGCTGCGCAAACGATAAACAGCAGAACGTGAAAAATGAAATGGGCCAGCACTTGACTTTCCTGAGCTTTTACAGAACTCGGAGATCACATTAACTACACTCAGAAGTGTCTTCAGTTGACAAACTCTTCTTGTCTGAGTTTGTGCAGTGTATTTCAAGAGTGTCCATATGTGGGAACAGAAAGAAATTTGCAGAATAGATGATAAATGTGTTCAACATCTTCTTAATATACCCTTAAAATAAAGGGGTTTGACCTCATTTTCATGGAATAACTATTAAAGCTGTTTTCCACCACATGATGGAATAATTTAATAAATAAACAAGACTTTACCCAATTGAGTGGAAAAGACTCTTCTTTTTCCCTCCTTCGCCCCTCATTCAGTAGTTTAATTCTCAAAATTAAAAGTTAATGAGCAAATACCTTCAATCTTTTTTATTTTACACAATTGTGTGCTTATATCTCAGTTACTTTGTACTCACAATTGCATGAAAAAGTTAGAATTGCATTTACGTACACTAACCGGCCACTTTATTAGGTACACCTGTCCAACTGCTCTTTGAAGCAAATTTCTAATCGGCCAATCACATGGCAGCAACTCAATGCATTCAGGCATATAGACATGGTCAAGACGATCTGCTGCAGTTCAAACTGAGCATCAGAATGGGAAAGAAAGGTGATTTAAGGGACTTTGAACGTGGCATGGTTGTTGGTGCCAGACGAGCTGGTCTGAGTATTTCAGAAACTGCTGATCTACTGGGATTTTCACGCACAACCATCTCTAGGGTTTACAGAGAATGGTAAGAAAAAGTGAAAATATCCAGTGAGTGGCAGTTCTGTGGGCTTAAATGCCTTGTTGATGCCAGAGGTCAGAGGAGAATGGCCAGACTGGTTTAAGCTCATGGAAAATCAACAGTAACTCAAATAAGCATTTGTTACAACAGAGGTATGCAGAAGAGCATCTCTGAATGCACAACACGTCCAACCTTGAGGCGTATGGGCTGCAGCAGCAGAAGACCACACCGGGTGCCACTCCTGTCAGCTAAAAACAGGAAACTGAGGCTACAATTCGCAAAGGCTCACCAAAATTGGACAACAGAAGATTGGAAGAAAGTTGCCTGGTCTGATGAGTCTCGATTTCTGCTTTAGATGGAAGGGTCAGAATTTGTCGTCAACAATATGAAAGAATGGATCCATCCTGCCTTGTATCAACGGTTCAGGCTGCTGGTGGTGTAATGATGTGGGGGGTATTTTCTCGGCACACTTTGGACTTATTCATACTAATTGAGCATTGGGTACCAATTGGGTATTGTTACGGAGCATGTACTGACCATCGTCTGATGGCTACATGCCCTGGCATAATGTGCCATGTCATAAAGCACGAATCATCTCAGACTGGTTTCTTGAACATGGCAATGAGTTCACTGTACCTAAATGTCCTCCACAGTCACCAGATCTCAATCCCATAGAGCAGTGGTTCCCAATCTTTTTTTTGCTTGAGACCCCCTTTCCCTCCAGAAAATATTGTAAGGTCTCCTCCACATTTAATGA